TCATATTTAATTCGAGCCTAATTTTTAAGTTCAATCTCAGACCGGCTCACTTAAAAATCGGTCTTATTGGACTTTTTGTCAAGCCGAACAAGCTGTGCACGGGCTGGCCCAACTCCATTGACAGTCCTACAAGAAATTGTTGTCCTTAAGGATAAAAATGTACCCAAATAATAATAATAATAAATAAAAGGAAAATGACAATCTACTTTGGCTACTTTGTTCTGCCCATTTTCTAGTTCTTGAGAAATAAAACGAGAACATATTTATATTTGGAAGTTTTCAAGCACATCAAACTTAAAGGAATTTAACAACTCATATGAAGGCTGTACTTAGGGGTGGCAATTTTCGACACAATCTGAAAACACGACACGAACCTAACACGAAATTAATGGGTTTAGGTTGAGGTTTTGGGAATTCGGGTCAGAATCGGGTTGGACCCGATGAACCCGAAAAGAAAACAGGTCGATTTCGGGTCAACCCGTGGTGACCTGATATGACCCGTTTACGAATTAAAAATAATTTAATAAACATAAAAATAATTTTATCTAACTAAACTAAGTTATTCTTTTTTTCAAAGGCATTAATTACTTAATCCTAAATGAATTTATTTAATTTGTGTGAAGTTGAAATTATTATATTTGGACAAATAATATATTATATTATTTTTTATTTTTATACTGTTTTAATTTATTTTATATTTTGTTTGGGATAAAACACTTTTACGGTGTTTAATTTATTTTAGATTTGGTTTGGAATTATTTATTTAAATTTTTATTACTTGATTATGTAATTAGTTTTGTGAGAAATTGATTTTATTAGAAATTACAGTGATAAATTAATAAATTAAAATTAAGTTTCGGGTCATTTCGGGTCGACCCGCCAACCCGCCAACCTGAAATTTTCGGGTTCGGGTCAGCATACCTGACCCGTCACGGGTTGGCGGGTCGGGTTCGGGTCAACAGATTTTCTGACGGGTTGACCCGAACCCGACCTGCCAACCTGATTTGGACCCGAATTGCCACCCCTAGCTGTACTATTACTTCAAATCCTTTTCTAATGTTATTTGTGTGACATCAATGTTTCTGTTTGATATTAAATAGAGAAACTTATTGTATTGAATTTTCTTATGAAACAGAATTGGATTAGGAAGACACTGCATAAATGTTAATTTGTAAAAGAGAAAAGTATACTAAACAAGAAATCTCAAAAACAAGAAAGCTGGTTTTATCTCAAAAAAGAAATGCAAACAAATTTGTGTTAGGAAATATTCATGATTCTAAACTTCTATGAACCTAACTATAATGATGCGAGAATGGATCAAACATCTATTAAGTTGTTTGCCACTATTACTCTGTCACATAGAACTCTAAGAAGAAGAAGAGCTTTGCACCATCTTCACCATATTTAGAAGAACCCAGCCCCTGCTCTGCAAAATGCTCATCGTTTCCTTTAAGTTGGCTGGAACTGTTTCATCGGTAAAGTACTCATCTCTGGCCACCTCTGCTGAGCAAAATCTCAAAGCATATGATTTCAACATGGGCTTGGCCAGCTGCCAAATCGGCTGAAATATGAAAGGAGCATCAATGAAGAGGACTTCGTTTAGCCTCCTTGGATAGTAGTAGTAGAATACATCAAACAAAAATGTAAGAGACCTGAGATCTGCATTTTCTGTACCAAAACCTCGAAGATCAATTATTACAAGTATCTGTTCCTTCCCAGCTGGAAGCTTACTAAGTGCTTTCTCAACTAAGAAAACACATAATTTTTCATCTTCATGGAAATCATGCTTCCCAGGGAAATGCTTGGATGCTTCTACTATTATTACCGGTCGGCTGTTGACATCAAGATAGTCATGCACATAGGCTTTCCCACTTTCAGCTGCTGATCTTACTGATTCTTCTCAAAGTTCTGATACGCCAAATTTATGATACCATCTTATGGCTTTTCTCAATTTGGACACTGCCTCTTCAACAGAAAATCTTCTGTCCTTCAAAAACCAAAAAATCAGCTCTTCATCATCTTTTCCATTTTTTCCAGCTGGAAGACTGCTACATTCTTTTTCAAGCTTTTCTTTAACTTCCACAACTAACTTTTGGGCATCTTTTGGGGCCAGAGCACAGTGGCGCCGAGAAGCTTACGAATTCAAATGGGTTTACTTGAAAAGAATGAGGAATTGAGATTCTTGAAATGGTTACCCAATGGAGGCCGGAGTCCCAGTTGGAATGCCATTTGATGTATGATTGGAGGCCGGAGTCCCGGTTATTCATGCTTAAGTGATTGGGAGATGGATAATCTTCTTATTGAAACTAAGATTTACATTTTTTTTGGGGGGGTCATTTCTGGTGAGGGCTGCAGAAGACTACCCTGTTGAGGATATTGTTTGTTGAATATTTTTTGGTTTAATTGGGTTTCCTTGGTTTGGTATAGTTTGGTTTGGTATAGTATAGTCAGTTAGCTAGGAAGCTCCAAGTTCATATATTTGCATAGGAAAGCTCAGGCGAAGCTAAAATTAATAATTTAAGATTCTCCAATTGCATTCTCAAGTACATGCAAGTCCAAGTTCCAAATTCAAACTTTCCTTTGCTTCTCCAATAGAACCAATTTCGAATTCCAATCTCACAATATTCGCCCTTTATCATATCATGATACCGCATTTTTTCTTATGCAATTCAAAGTATTTTTTTTTAGCTTTACTCTTCACAGAATCTTGATTTATGCCCTTTTATGGAGCATGAATGGCTCAATTAATAATTAACACCGCCAATTTATTGCCCCATTTTCTGATTTCAATAATGGTCGCCCGAGGAGTTGTAGGAATGGTAAACCGGTGATGAAATGGAAAGTAAAGAAGAAATCAAATGGATCGTTTTAGATTGGAGCATTATATCATATTGATTGTTACCATAACTCCAAGTGGGGATTTTTTTTTTTTTGTGTGACCATATATCTATTGCTTTCCCAAGTTGTATGCCTATTTAAGCAAACAGCCTTCATGACACGTGAAGAATAAGAACTTTTCCATATACAAGATTTAAGTGGTGCAAATTCGAGGAGTTTTTTAAAGTAACAAAATGAGCCTAATTTTCACCACTGAATATTTTGCTTGTAAAATGAGCACGAGTTTAAATGGTGCCATGATCATAGTCTTCAAATCATTGTCTAAACCCCAATGAAGACTTCAGAATGCGGACATTGAATTAATTCATACGATTATTGAAGGTTTTTCAAAAGAAATTCTGAATTTTAAAGTATGGATTATTGAAAGCCTTAAGAAAAAGGTGTGGTCTTTCCATAACGATACAAGTCTCAGGCATTTCTTCTTCCTCGACCAAAGTCTTCAAATCAAGCTTTTTTTTTTTTTTTTTAAATTAAGGAAGGTTTTTTGCAGTCAGGAACTGGTATAAGTAGATAATTCATACTACTATAAATAGATGTTGGCTTCTTGTTCTCATCTTAATACATTTTTTTGCTCTAACACGTTAAATTAAAAGGCAGTGACAAATAGTAACCATTCACTTGGGTATTCTTAAAACTACAAGAACGGTTTTTTTATCGATGTCTTTCAAATCAAGAGGAAAACAAATTACATAAACAATGTATATTACTTGGTCTAGAATGTTGTTACAACAAATATTCATGCATGCAGGAATTTCTGCTAGGCGCATATCTCAAATAGTTCAAGCTCATATGGTTTGAATTAGCATATACTAATACTACTACATTTTCTATTACTCCTGTAAATATTAAATTCTTTATCGAATGATATGATGTTGTCGTTTTCTGTAGGTGAATAAATAGTAATACAAAAATAAATACAAAAAAATCGCATTGCTAAAGAGGGAAAGGGAATTTCCATAAGTCAACCATATATTTATCCTATCGTTGAATTTTTTCCCCCCGGGTATAATAAGCGCAAAATTTGAAACTAAATAGATAATAATGTCTTCTTTAACTTTACTACAATACTTCCTTCGAAGCAAAAGAAAAACCATTATTAGCGGTACTTTGCAATTGAAAAATGACGAGTTTGTGGGAGAAAGAGTTAAAATTTATACTTAGAAAATGTGGCTATCCTATAATAGTTGGATTTTTAATGGTATCCAAAAGCTATCCTTTCTTGTCTACAGATATGTTCTCCATCCGTTACTCTAATTCCTCATTTTAGTTGCAAGAGAAAATGTAAAAGTCTTGAGCTGTGCTTCTTTGACAAATTTGGATGCGTTTCCATTGGCGTTTTCACTTTAACTTTCTCAACCATTGTTGTTACAGGGGTTCATGTTTTCTGATTGAATGGTGGGGCGTTCAACCTTTTTGATTGTGAACAATATCTCAATGGTTGTTGCATCCGCAAAGGACACTATTAATTTTCAAGATGAAATTGTAAAAAGCAAAACGAGAACTATAATTGTTCCTTGGAAACGTTGATTTCATTGGTTTATCCTTGGAAAATGTACTTGAAATATAATTTGGTCTTAATTATTGATCCTCGAGAATTAGAATTAAAATGGACATCTTATTTTCTTTGATTTTTTCAAGAAATGGGGGCAAAAAACCTTATTTGAATTGTATATATGAAATTAATTGACTCGACAATTTTATTTTGAGTATTTTCATTAGCCAAAAATTAAGTTTTGTTTTATTTCTTGGCTCAATAATCAGGCTTGCGATTTCAAATTACTTTAAACTTAGTGTTTAATCAAAATGAAATCATTTGGCCTTCTAAATGATTATAATGGCGTGGATTTGAGGCGGGGAAGCCCTCTCCATCCCTCACCCCGTTTTCCAGAAAGCTCCTCTGCCCCTGCCCCGAATCCGCCCCAACTTCTACGATTTCTTGACACACGAGCAGATTTGTCAAAGAAGCCCAACTGCCAATTCAGGCCGACTGACAAGAAAAACGTTCTATAAATTTGATTCTGGCCCAAGCCCCAGTAAACCAAGAAAAGTAGATAGCCATTGGTGTTCACCCAGTGAAATGCAAAATTGGATCCTGGACAATCTGAAAGAAGAAGAAATGATTCCATTGCTTAAACCTGGAAGCGATTTCCTGTGCTCAGACATACATAGGTATAACAGCTTCATTTCTTTTATATAAACTCATTACTTTCCTTTGTTAGCAAATCAGCAATAAAACTAAGCTCTCCCTCCAAGATGCCTTTACACATTGGCAATTTTACACTTCCAAAGCAATAAAGCATTCAATTCCAGCTATACATATGGCGGCTGGTCCTGAAGAAGTTGAATAATAAAGATTGAATGCCAAGAGTTGCTCATCCGAATACGCATGAAAGATGAATTAGATGGCAATTTCCAAATTCATTCCAAGTTCCTCCATCATCATTTGGTTGTTGACATCTGCTTGGAGCAAACCTTCTGCCATCCAAAGTTCGATTAGCATATCTCCTTTCATCATAGTATCCTAAGGAAATATAGAACAATATGCAAAACATTTCTTAATGGATGGAGATGGTAAACAATCAAAACTCAATTTAAGTATTTCCATGACACCATCTTCATCTCCACTGAAATTTGAAAGCTTATTCTTCAAAACCAATTGCCACTCGTCTTTTCTCTTCATGCGCAATAAACCTCCCATTACACTTGCAGCCAGTGGTAGACCACCACATTTTTTTATAATTTCCTTTTTCATGACATGCAATTGTTTGGGAATTTCTCCACCTGCAATGGCTTTCTTTGTTAGGCTAGACCAACAATCGTCATCATCAGATAGCTTTCCTAGCACATAAGGATCATGTGTGGCCACAATGGATGCAGTTTGTTGTTTACGAGTAGTCACAACACACCAATTTCCATTAGTTGCATTTAGCCCCAGTAATGAACCAAAAAAATCATCCCACAAGGTAAGATTTTCGGTCCAGACATCATCAAGAACAAGAAAAAAATTTTTTCCCACAAGTTGTTCTCGAATTTCCTGGACGATGACATCCCTACTGGTCATTTTAACATTTCTTCTTGTGAGTGCTTCTAAAATCATTTTCAAAAGCCTGGTCACGTCAAAATTGTCGGACACACAAACCCAAATTTTTTTCTCAAAATGGCTATGAACGTGACTATTTTTGTATACAGATTGAGCTAAAGTTGTCTTTCCCAATCCGCCCATCCCAAGGATGGGAATTACAGAAACGGCTTTTTCTGACAAGCTTAGCAAGGTCTCCACCAGCCTTGTTTCATCCTTAGCTCTTCCTACAATATAATGGCCAGCAATAGAATCCGTCTCTCTATTTAGTGTGACTTTAGCAGTAGTAGAAGGGGGGAAACTTGCCCTTTGGAATCTGATCAGTCCAAAATCATTGGCTTCTTTATTGATCTTATTCAACTTCTTGTTGATGTCCCTAATCCTAGAGGCCATTCTCCGTCGGAAAACAATATTAATGTCAGAGGACAGGATGAAGGAGCGCACCTTGCCCACGAGATGGCGACGAAGAGCTTCATAATTCAGCTCGTCAAACAAATTCTCGGCATCAAACGCCACGGCTTCTAGCCTCTGGAGCCACAGTCGCACGGCCTGGTCATGCGTTTGCTTTTCCTCTGCATCAGCCAAGACAGCTTGGATCATAGCAACAGATCCTTTGAGGGTCTCCAAATCCTCCTTGAATTGGAATAACTTGCCAATCCTTTCATTGGCAAGGGAAAGTGTCTTCTTCAAAGCTACCTCTATTGTGGAAGCTATAAGTACATCAGCCATTCTTCTTGTTCCTTGGGTACAGTCTTCAGATAAGAATACTCTTTTGCAGTGGAAGGTTTTAGCTGTAGTTAGAAGCAGCAAGGAACTGCTTTGACTCAAACGGAAGTGACAAGAGTTATGAGGATTTTTTGGTGCAGCGCTTCTTTGACAAACTGGGTGGGATGCTTTTGCAACGGAAATTGCTTGGCATTTTCAGTTGAAAATAAAACATAGTCATTGCAGGGATTCTACATCTGCTTTTGATCCACATTCCACATGCCTGGGGCCCCTGATCGTGGAAAATTCCACTCAAGAAGGATGAGAAACTGTGCTGAACAATGAAAGGTCCAAAATAATTGTTTAGATAATACAAATTAAGCAGTTTCTTCTAATTCAAATTAATGTTGCGCATGTATAGGAGTCACAAAATGGTTTGGTGCACTAGCAAACAGAAGGGTACATCTAAGGTTACTACGACAAGTTTTACGTTAAAGTGGGAGATTTGTAAACCAATTCAGGGTAAACAAATGATATGTTGAGGAAAAAATATGTTAGTTGCAATGCAATCATAAAAGCTATGATACATTTGTGAAAAGAAGAAACATTTATTAATTTAGTGCAGTCTAATTGGAAACCTAGAAAAAAAAATATACATGAATGATCCGAAAGCGGGAACGGTATCATTTTACTCAAATAAAAGTGTGATCGAATCGAGGATTAGTTAAATAAAAAAATTAGATTAATAATATAATACTTTTTTGTATTTTTATATAATGTATATGAGACAGAATGGTGGCTGGTAAAATTAAAAAAAAAAGTGATGGAATAAGTATAAATTGTTTTTTTCATATATTTATCTAATGATAATAGTGACAGGGTAAAAAAACAAAGGTGATAACAATGATAAGTGTGGTGAGTACTTCTTGCAATTGATTGCAATCTATATTTTACATTAGGTAAATTTGAATGAAACTTTCAATGAATGAAACATGTATTGTGCTTTTGTGTTAATTTTGCATTAGGTTAATTTTGTCTGCATTTAATATCTCAGTGTATACACGTCTATTGTGTCAGCACCTAAATTGCATGGCATGTATGGCACTAAATTTCCAGTTCACCTTTCCTACTTAATGCCTTGCCGAGGCCTCTACTCTGATTGAGAAACCTTAAAACTGCTGGGGCCTTCTATTGTGCAAAAAATCTCAACAAAATAGTGGTCTGACCCAAGAAGCACAAGAAAGTATTGTCCTTAACAATTAGAATGTTAAAGAAAAAAAAAAAGGGAAATTGACAATGATGCTGTGATTTTGGCTACATTATTCATCTCATTTTTCTAGTTCCGGAGAAACAAAATAAAAAGATTTCACTAAGTTTGCTTTTTGTAATGTACCGCGCTGGGCTTTGTCAAATGCCCCATTTTTTGCTAGAATTACTTATTTTGCTTCTCATTTGGTTCTATTATACTGTACAGAATTATATGTATATAACGTGGATTGTCATCTTAAGAATCAAGATTGCCAATCTGATCACGTAAATTGGCCAGAAATTGGTTGCAATTGGCTGCATGTAATGCCTTGAATCGAAAATGGCTACCATTTCAATCCATAGAAATATGTTGAAGGAAACTGGACTGCAACATGTACTAATAAGAATCAGATATGACGATTCTTGATTGCTTAAGAAAATCCTTGTATATTTGGTTATTTGACACAGGAAGTCAATATGCTTCAAATGAAACAGTGAATCCAACAAATAAGGCATGGCAAGCTGTGATTAATGCCATACAAACCTGAGTTTCATTAAATTAACAGAGAGGATAGTGAAGAGCAGAGCCATTCCTAAATGCCAAAGAGACAGAGAGATTATAAAGATGATCAACTAACTAATCATACCCTTCAACACGAATAGCCAAATATCTGAGGTTTGAGAAATGACAGCAATTGTTGCAGTCAAGCAATAGAAATGATAGGGGGGACTACACATCCAAAAGAAGGCACAGCAATATGATCAGTGTGGAACAAAATTTGCATTATAAACTAATTCAGAGCCAGCTACAACGTCACAGAATAACAGGCAATAGACCTGAAACTTCCAATACTGGGATAACAACACTTTTTCTGTGCCCTACTTGGTCCGACCAGGGACAAAAGGACATCTGGCCAAATTAAAACAGAGAGGGACTTATCCGAGAACTAAGTAGAAACTGCTGAAACTAGTCACATTGCTCGAAAATTCAAAAAGAACCAAAAAAAAAAAATGAGAAAGAAGAAGGGAAAAAGGAACTGCTTAGAATCAGAGAGAGAAGAGGGACTTCTGAGAGCAGCACTAATCGGCGGGGACAACTCTGACAAGTGGATGGCAAAGACAGCACTAATTGGCGGGGACAACACCAATCCCTTCCCTTTTGTGTAGAAATAAGTTCATCTGAAAGTTTTTATTATTTTTAGGTAACTAATTATGATTATTACTGCTACTACTACTTTCTGTACTGATACAGACATGAGATGATTTACTTATATTGGCCGTCAAAGTCTTAGAGGCATAGAAAAGTAGAAATGCTTTAATTGTCACATAGGATTTGAGCTAGCAATGAATAGGATTTGAAGCCAAGATGTGTAAGATCCATGTCACATTATTGCTTCATTGAACAATATTGACGTACAAGGAGACAAGTCCACATAGAAGTAATTTTGCAATTAGATGCTATGCAAAATGTCAGTTTGATGAACTAAGGTTGAGCTTGTATGTTCCTATATAATCCTGTTCAATTGATTTCCATAATTTCATCTCTCCAACGTTCCCATCCACCAAGTGGATCCTTCTTGAATAGAAATTGGTGCCTTAGCAATTCAGTTTTCTCTCAAATTAACATAAATAGAAGGGCTCAATCTGACTGATTCTTTGTTGTCTGAGTCCTGTCTGAGCTTTACAGATACAAGGAGCAATGGAAAAGTTCCATCCGACACAACCTGTAGTCAACTGCAGAACACTTGAGAAAAAATATGTTGCCTGTTATAGAGCTAAGATACAACTTCAAGAAGGATGCAAGCAGCTATCAGGGTTCAGCTAATCCACATCTTTCTGCTGCAAAATACTGGCTACTTTGAACTACAAGCACCACAGAAGATATGGCAAATTGAGTTCCAAAAGAAGTAAAAGAACACCTCATTAACATGTCTACAAATTGCTGAATGGTTGGACAGTTTAAAATCACGAGCCAACAAGGAAGATCTCAGGCTTTAGCCATCCAAGGCAGAGAGCAAAAGAGAATTCCATCCTGGATGTTTTCATCTGATCTGATTGAAACAGGATCCGGTTCAGTAAGGGATCATAGGACTTTTAATAATGTACCAAGGATAATAAGTAAGAGCTATGAAGGTTTTGAGCGTAAAATCACTGCATAACACAAAAACTCAAGAAACTTGAGACAACATGTAGTCAAGAATAAAGCCAACACATAGTTGCATGACGTTTTTGTTGTATTTGAAACACTAAAATAAGAACTTACCATGAAGAGAGGAGCAACCAACAAGTATAGAAGGTGGGATGAGCTTAATAGCCTTCATCACAGCGGATGAAACAATTGCAGCAAGTAGCAGCAGGCAGCAAGTATGTTTGACAGTCTTGACTAACTACGGCGATATGCTTCAAAAGTTGCAGCTTAGACTTGATTTGTTAGAAGATACTCCAACAAGTCCGTGCAGCTTTATTGCATGAACAGACATCTTCTGTGGCTGCTCCAAAAAACATCCAAATTAGGAGAAGATTTCTCAAGTTTTAGTTGTAATGTAATCAGAATCAAAGTATTTAAAAGTCAAAATTGAGTAGTAAAAGAAGAGTAGTATATGTTACCTTACTGGACTCTGAGAACCAAAAACCAGTTTAACAGCCAACAGCTTTGGAAACTCCTGAAGTCTTTATGGCTAGAAAATCACAACCAAGGAAAAGTGAGACAGAAACCCATCATCTACGAGACTATCGAACAAATCACTAATCAAATGGTTCAAGAAGCTTGATAAATGCTCCTTCAAGAGGTGATTAAACTTTGGAGCAACTATTTACTCCCCTAGCAACATAAGTTAGGGAGCTGATAACTTTAGCAATCACATCTTACATCCACAAAAGCAGATATATAAAATCAACAAAACAAAACTCCTAGTGCTTATTTCATATTGATGAGTAACTTGGCCCTAACAAGGAATATTAACCACAAAGCAGCAATGATGATGTGAAAAAGTTGCAACTTCATTACTGTAATCTAAATTTTACTCCCTCATGACATGCAGGTCCCTTGATAGGGACTGAGCCACGGTGCCAGCGGTCTTTCCACTCCAATCTACCTCAAATCAGTAGCCTAAAAGTAAACTGCATATAGCAGCTGATTTTCCAGGTAATTCAAGAGAAGCCCCCCAAGCAAGCAGCAACTGCTTGGAAATTGGAACTGTCTTCGTTCATACCTTGAATATCATATGTTGTTGTTTACTAGGAATACATTTCTGTGCCCACTATTGACATCATCTCATAGTTTCAGATTTCCAAGTACACCAATTTTCCTACTCCAATTCCTTTCCTGAGTTCTAGTTTCCAACTATGGATAAACTGAGAAACGTTTTGCCATTCTACCAAGAAGCATCTCTTACTACATTAATCTCAATCTCCAGCACCAAACCAACAAGAGGTGAATAACATTCCTCTTCTCATTTCCCTTTCAATTCAAATTAATGTCATCCCTTCACCTCGAGAACCACAGCCATTACTTTCTCCTAAAAGGCTTCAAGATAAACACCAGAAAAGTATTTATCTGAGAATTGCTAGGAATACCTCTTATATTAGATCTCCAACTTTTACCAGCAGCTGAACTATTTTTCTGGAGACAATATTCAATTATTCTGTCATCCAAGAACCGCAATCAAAATTTGTATAGTAAACTGAAGCAACTTAATACAAAATTTGGCTTCTGTGAACAAGCTCAGACAGTATAAACAGAAATGGAAAACCAAAAATTAATTAATACCAGCTATAAAAATCTAATCTAAGTTCATCTAGGGGAGAGACCACAAAAATCTGCTTGCTAAGTGCAGGAGAAAGACGTGCAGCAGAGAATTGCTGGTTTAAAGTCTTGTAGAAAAGGTTTCTAGAATTGGTGCATGAGATATCGAATCTAAAACGTCCAATGCATTTTCAACAGGTGAAATCACGAGTTTAAAGAGAGTGTGCTGATGTTAGCAAACACAACGTACAAAGGACAGCAACTGACATACACGATAAACAAAACTAAATGCTCAATTCCGCCCCACATTAGTGCATTTGTTTCAGTGTTAGTTCATCCAAAACATGATTCAGTTAACCCAAGAACATCTCATTCATTTGCCATGTTTGATCTAGTACAGAAACATGGTATTGAATTAAGCCTCCATTTGCCATGTTTGATCTTTGCGTCAGCAAATAATATGTGATAGAACGTGAGCAATACCAATTTAACATTAGAAATTAACCAAAAAGATTGTTTAGTACCGTTAATTGATATGAAGCGGTGCATGGCTTATTAGCGGTAAAGGTTAAAGAACCTACTCTGTTGTTGCTTCAATTATCCGTTGATATACTTTGAAGGAAAGAGAGGATTTTCAAAAGTGAAGGCGGTACTTTAGTTCCCCGACTGAGCTTTAAGCCTACAGTCACTGCAAAACAGAAAACTCAGGTTCAGGACTTCACATTGCATGACATTTTTGTTTAGTCAATTATTCAGAAAGCCAAATCAATATTTGTTTCTGTTGTGCTTTTCTAACCTAAATCAGTAAGACGATATCAAAATTTTCTGCTCAGTCTACAAGTACCAGAAGTGCCATAGAAACTATGTTAGTTTTGGTTCAAAACACTGAAAAAAGAGAAGTTCTATAACAATAATGATAATGAGTAGAACCCACAAGCGTGAAAGGCAGAGAGCTCCAGAATTGCCATGAAGGCAACTCTTTGAGACAGCAAGATACAACGAGTAGAGTTAATTATAACTCTTTGACTCTTAAAATCTCAAATCATGGCATTTGGACTTAAAGTCTACCAAGTCTCTGATGCTTGAAAACGGTCTTAAACATGACAATTTTTTAAAGGATTTAATTAATTCATTGGATATTAAACTTCTTAAAACCCAATATTAAGCAGTGGAAGAAGATTATTGGTATTATAAATTATGTGACAGTAAGTAAGACAGTAAGTAAGAGTCATTGATGAGGTTCCCTGTTGAGTTTTGGGCCTAAAATCACTGCAAAGCACAAAAATTCAAACTCAAGCCGGCGAATAGCATAGAATAAAGCTAATGGAAATTTTCAGATAATTGCAGGTTTTCTGTCATTGTGACTAAAGCCCCAAGAGGAGAAACTTACCATAAAAAAAGAAGCAAACAACAATCATAAAAGCAGAGAGAGCTTAAAAGCCTCTATCAAGGTGGACTCATCAAGATCAGCAAGTCACAGCAGGTAGATTTGACTAACTACCAGAATGCTTCAAAACATTGCGCTTAGAGTTGAATGTTGGAAGATACTCCGCCAAGTTTTGTGCAACTTCATTGCTCAAACAGTACACCCCTTCCTTGGCTACCTCAAAAATATCTTCGTGACGGCAAGATTTCTTTTGTTTCATACGTAATATATTAGTTATTAAAGTGGTTAGAAGTCAAAATTGAGTAGTGAAAGAAGAGAAGCATATCTAAAATTACCAGAATTTTTGAACCAAAACATGAAAGTGATGACCAACAGCTGCGAAAACTCCTCAATTGACCATTGTCTTCATGGATAAAAAGCCAAAATCAAGGAAAAGTGAGCCAGAAAACCATCATATATGACTCCGATGGAGCAATTACTAGTCAAATAGTTCAGATAAGTATGCAAGTTCATTATCAAGAGACGAGGTAAAAGTTCAGTCCCCTTAGAATCACAATTTTAAACAGAGTGAGATGACTTTAGCAATAATGACTTAAAATCCACAGAAACAGAGCATGTAAAATAAACAAAACTAGACTGCTAGTTGTTCTAAACGTTGATAAGCAATTTGTAGGAAACGCAGGCCAAAAGTTATTGAGGTCTAGCCATATAGATGGTGCTGAAGAAGATTCAAATTTTGACCTCTGTTCGTGAAGCTATTCTTCTATCGATCCTACAAAAACAAAGCATAGAACAGAATATGAACAGAGATACAGTAAAACATCAAAGCACGAAACAGAACAGGTGCTTGGGGTCATTCTAATTGATAGTTACAAGAGTATTACTATTATGTTGTAAGGAGTAAATGAAGAGTACCAATATTTTGGACCCGATAAGAAATGCTAATGCTGCAGCTTTGAAAGATAATAAATAAGACGAACAAAAGGGAGAACAGAAAATTGTGAAAATAACCATGTGGACTTTTTAGGTTTTCTCGCGAGAAGGTTAATCAGAGGGGGAGGTGAAGAGAAGGGGAGATTGATTGTAAAGCAAATTAAGAAAGTAGGTAGGAGGCAATCTTACATGATTGAATTTGATCTGAGATGAGTGGTTAATCATCGGTTATGTGTAGGTATTGAATGTGAGAAACTTTGGACCACTGGGAGTCGGGGCTGCTGCTCTCAGGAGTGCATCTTTCTTTTAACACAGGAGAACCATAAACGTGCAGACATTTTAGTTTGGTGAGACTTCTCATGGCATCCTCAGAGGGTAGATGTCCAAGCTCTTTGAAATCATATAAATATAGTTCTTCAAGAGCAGCGAAGTTTCCGAACCAATCTGGCAGAGCTTTTATACCTCCAAAGTAACCTAGCGCGAGTGACGTGAGAGCGGTCAAGTATTGGATCTGAGGTGGCAGGGACTCCATGTGTGGCAACCCATATAAGTATAATTCACGGAGTGCGGATGATGAAGAGGAGGAGGAGGAGGATATCAATCCAGACCAATCAAACTCATTGTAAATTGAAGAATTTTCATGATCATCACCATCATCTAAGAAGGGACCAATTGTAAGCTCCCTTAAGCTGGTTAGGAAACCAAATCCTTTGGGCATCATGCTTGTTTTCAGTTTGCGACACCACAATAATTTCAGCTTCTAGAGAGAAGGCGTTTGTTGCAAATCAAGCGGAAAGGAGATAAGATTGTCGCAACAAACCACCCGAAGCTTTTGGAGAGAGGCACAAGAGTGTAGCATGTCACCTGGCAGATTCGTCAACTCATCGCACTCATCAATCACCAGCTCTTTAAGAGACGTAAAGTTTTGCAGGGGAAGGAGTTCTCTGCATCTGTGGCAGCAATTAAATTCCAAACACGCTAACTTGGGGAGTGTTGTTGGCAAATCCATTAACCATCGAGGAAATTGATCGCCCATAAAACGCCAAATTACCAACTCCTCCAAATTTGGGTGGGGTTGAAGGCCATCCAACACATCTTTGTCGTTGTAGTTGTCGCCTTGTTTTTCGCGGAGCAAGGCCCACTCAAATCGCAAACTAAATAGATTAGCCTTTTCAAATAGTTTTGCTTCCTCAGCTCCTTCCTTATCCTTTACTAGTTCCAGATTGCGTATCTCCAATTTGCCTTTGAGGTTCTTCAAGCTTCTAAGCTCTCCAATTTGTCGACCCTTCACTCGACCCACTTTAAAGAACTCTAGTGTCTGAAGGCATTTGAAATTCTTCAGCAAGGGTGTAAAAGTGGAGATGTCTCAAGCTAATCAAATCGCACATCCCCTTCAGAAGAACCTTAAGAGCGGATCTGTTTAGCCTCAGTGTTTGCAAATTATAAAGTTTGCAAACAGATCCCGGCAAAGTTTCAATTGCAGAACCCTCAAAGTTGATGTACCTCAAGTGTATCAGTTTGCCAATTGAGATTGGCAGATTCAGATTTTTTACACGAGACAAATTCAGAACGTACAAATTCCTCAACTTCGTTAGTATATCATCAGATAAGCCACTCCGATTTAGAAACAATGTATGAAGCAAATTTGAACGACTCTCGAAAAGATTTATTGTGCCTTCTCCAAATGAGTCTATTACAAGACAACGAACCTGATTACCATTGTCTTCTGAACCAGTTTCCGAATTAATGACTTTAGTAGACTTTGACATTATTGATTTTGCGACGTCGTGCACCATATCATGCATTTTATAATACCTTCTTCTCCCACCGTAATTTATTTCTTCCAGCAAAGAACTCTGCAATAAAATTTCCAAGTAATATTCTCCAATTTCCTCCATTGTTTTGTTCTCCATTGTTTTGTTCTCCATTGTTTTGTTCTTGAGATCTACTTGAAGGAAGCCTTCTGCCATCCAAAGTTCGATCAGCATATCCTCTTCCATCTCAGTATCCTGGGGAAAAATAGAACAATATGCAAAACATTTCTTGATGGCTGGCGATGGTAGATTATCAAAACTCAACCGAAGTATTTGCATGGCTTCATTCAAATTCAAAAGTCTATCCTGACAGGTGTCAAGCCTGTGCAATAATAAATACCTGCTTAAATAAAATATAATTTCTGTAGATAGTGATAAGTAGGGTCGAATCCACAGGGACTGGGGATAATTTAATTTCTTCTCAAGTTCCAGATATGGGGGGTTTTTGAAAATGAGAGTAACTAAATTTATTGGAATAAATTAAAATAAAATAAAATAACTACAACTCAAATAACTAATTATCACAATAAAAATAATAATAGACGAACTCTAGCCAAGAGACAACTTTGGAGATGGTTTACTTAATTCGATCACAGATGCAAGGATTATTCCAGTTATTATCTGATAAATTAGTTATAGTTGTCATACACGCGATAAACAACTAACTCTTCCTCAATTTGTCGATAGCCAAGGTACGACCGTTGACTATTTCTCTAATCAGGAAACAACCCTAGGTACGACCATAGAAGTTCAATTCCCTAATTGCATGAATAATTAGAAGAACCTAATTCTAACCAATCAACACGCTACGAGGGTCTCTTTAAGTTAGCCTGTCTATCTCCCTGACACAAACCCAATCATGTCAGTTGCCACCAGTTTAGAATAATTAAACAATTACGGATTTAACTACCATAATTGGCTTCAGGTTATTGAATTAATCTAGAATCCGGGCCCTGGATAATCGAATAATAAAATAACTATATGAACATAAAGCAGAAGATAGACGAATACCAGAAAGTAATAGGAAAGCTAAAATCGATTAGATCTCACAATTTAAGTCGAACCAAATCCTCCGTTGTTCTTGACTAGAAAAACTTAGCCACGTCTCATGAGAAAATCTCCACGTAATTTAATTGAGGTCCAGGCCATCAAAGGAATCAAGAAAGAATAGAAAACTAAAACTATAGCTATCCTAAAACTATTGATAAAAACTCTCTGTACGTCCCTTTTCTCTTTTAAAGCCAAAGATACAAATGCTATCTAGTCCTGTGGTCCCCGCACGAATTGAGAGTCCAATTCCATTTCACAAGCCTCTGTACGTTTCTTTCCAAGAGCCCAAATGACTCATGCTTCTTATCTCCGTGGTCCCCACGCAATTGAGAAAAGAGTCCATCCCCTGTAATCCTTGTTTTTAGCTTCCTCTTACCTGTAAGACTCCTAGTACAAGTCCACCCTTTTCAGCATAAAGATAGGAAATCCCCTTTTTGTAGCATCCTGTGGAGCCAGGCTTGTATTTCTTTTTAGAACTTCCCATGTGTGGAGTGTTTTTATCAATAAAGTCTCCTTTTTAGCACTTGTTTACTCTACTTCCTGTAATTAGGGCCAAATACCAAATATAAGTACATTTCAACAATTAAAACAATATTTGGCAAGGACAAAGAGGGAAATTAACCATAAAATTAACAACAAATTGTGCTCTATCAATTCCCCCCACACCTGAATCATGCTTGCCCTCAAGCATGAGAACAGCAATTGAACACCAAAAATTCGACAACGGCTATTGCTCTAACTATCATATTGCCAAGATATCCAGAAAAACATATATCAAGCATCACAGTTAAGATCCAAGAAAGACCACTCCGGTTAGCTCCCCAACCACCAACTCCTCCAATTTAAAGCAAACTAATCTAAGAAAAAGGAATGGTTGCTCACATTTATCAGCAAATGGTCCAGCTATTAACCAAAATCTCGACATTAAGATCACAAACCGGCAAGCTGACTTATTCACATACTAACACAATCTTTACTTCACTTCTTTTCCCCTTTTTTTTTGTTCTTTCTTTTTTCTTTTTGTTCTCTTTTTTTTTTCTTTTTTTTTTTTTTGAATAACAAAAGACTTAGTCTATAGCCCTTAGAGCCTTTTGACGCGAACTCCAACATTTGCTAGATGGAGGAGCCCGGTTACTCAGCTCCAATTGCTACGGGACCACGTACTCATAGCAACTACTACCTTTTGACACGAGAATCGACACTTTAGGTGAAGATCCCCGGTTACTCGGTAGTAGCAACTAGCGGAGCACAGTCAATTCTTATTTATAACCATATAACACAATAACTAAAAACAACACAAAAATAGCAGCAGTCAGCCCCAAATTTCCAAACATGGAGAACTAAAATTAATAATTGGACCAATTCACATGAAAAATGCCAACAATCATTCCCTATGCCTAGAAAAGTTAACTAAAAATTGGAAAAGTTAAGTAATTATTGATATTCACCAAAGAGATGTTCCTGAACTCAACCACATCAACTTGATACATTTTTATTAATAAACTTGGCAATAACAGAATTAGAGACAACAATCCAGTATCAAACTTGGTATTCAAATAAGAGCTGACCACTAATAAAAGAAAATAAAATAAAATAAATAAACGAAAAATAGAACAAATAACAAAAATAAAGGAAAACATGTAAAAACTAAAAATTAGAAATACTAGCTGTACCACAGCTGTCCCCCCCACACCTAAATGACACATTGCCCTCAATGTGATAATGTAAAAGCAGAAGGAATGAGAGGGGCAACGGTACTTCCCTGAAGTTGTCAAAACAGGGGTGGGTCGGGCGGGGTACTGCCCAATTCTGCACCATGTTATGAAGATTGACGGTAATGTGGGGCATCCGAGTCTATAGTCTCTTAACTCGCATCTGGAGCTCGTGCCATTCGTGGCCTCACCGTGGACTCTAGATATCACTCTAAGTAACAAGAGACTGCAATTGCCAACAAAGAATGGAAGCCGGGAATTCAAAGCAATAACAATTTTAAAGCCAACCCAATGAATAAAATGCACAATTCAACCACCCAGAGGACATACAAATACCCCAACACTTATAGCAATGGCAATCAATAAGCACTTGCGGTCCCAATGTAGTCAATTTCAGAATCAATGCAGTCCAAAAGTGCACGAATGCTCCTAAGATGTAGGACTTGAATTTAAGAGGCAGAATACACCAAGCAAGTCAATTAGGCACAATCGATTAGCAATAAGCAAAGGAAGGGACACAGCAGCCTTCCAATTCAACAAACAGACGCAGAAGGTACCCCACAATACCAGAACACAGCTCCCAACAATGCAACAAAACAACAACTCGAACAACTAAGAGCGGTGCTAGTGGCTAATCAAAATAACAAATTCAGCAATTGGACACAATTCCACCCAAAATCTCAACAGCTGTCTCCAATTGGACAGTCAATTACCCAGTTCAACCTACTAAAAATAGCAAATGACCCCAGAGAGGAGGAATTCCAGCAACCGAAGTGCAGAATCCTGGCAACACTTTAAGCACAAGAGGCCAGTAGTCAATTAGGCAGTCAAGCACTTAAGATTAAGAAATTTGAGGCAAACTACTGCCACCAGTACCACTGGTAAATGCTCAAGGAAAAAGTAAATCAAATGGCCAACCAAAGCCACTAAGAAATACAAACAATTTCAGACAGTACTCCGAGAGCCTAAACAAACGACAGTTATATCAAACCAGGCGAATCAGCTGCAGGACATAACTTAACCCACTGGCTCCAGTAACACAGATGCAACCCAAACAAAATTACTCAATGAAATCGCAATCATCAAAATCCCATCAACATCAAAAAATTGGAATTGGGGACCAGAAAATTAATAAAGAAAAACCTGGCACCAGGGAGGTTGGGCTGTTGGCGTGCGGCGGTGGTCGAAAGGGTGGCAAGCTGGTGGTGCTCGCGTGGTGGTGGCAGGCGAGGGAGGAGCGACGCGGCGTGTTGGTTGTGGGCTCGTGGGCTTCGGCTGGAGAAAGAGTTCGGCGAGGAGGCGGAGCGTGGGCAGGCGGCTGGTGGCATCGTATGGAGAGAGGCGCGGCGAGCCTTGGCCGCGAGATGGTGGTGGAGCGAGTGGGTAGGAGGAGCTGCGCGCAGGTGAAGATTCGGCCGTGGGCTGTGGGTGAAGTGGAGAGAGAGCAGAGGGAGCTTGGTGGCAACCTTGGTCTCTGTCGGCAGCTGTGGCGGCTAGGAGTTGCGGCAGGGAGGAATAATTAGGGAGGCGGCCGTCGACGGAAGTCTGTCAGCTTGGGCTTCGTCGACGAGCTGTGGCGGCGCGCGAAGAGCTGGTGGCACACGAGGTGAAGCTGGAGCTGGAGGGAGGCGCGGCTGAGGTCGCGCGGCTCAGAGGTGGAGAAAGGCGGAGATCTAGCGGCTGGCGGTGGGCCTGTTACGCGGCGCGCGATGGTGGCTTGGAGGCAGAGGCGTGCGAGTAAAAGGAAGAATTGGGGAAACAGAGGCAGCGGGGAAGAAGGAAGAAAGAAAAGAAAGAAAGAAAGAAAGAAGAAAAGAAAGAAGGGAAAAAAAATAGTTTTTTTTTTTTGGGAGATTTTTTTTTTTTTATTGCACACTCAAATTTCAAAACTCGAATTGTGAGAACCAAAACTGAAGGTGTAAAACGGAAAATGTTTTTTTTTTGAATTTTTGAATTTTTTTTTGT